TGCAACAGTTATTGAGCCTTTCTTTTAACAGTTTTAAATTTCAGTTACTGTGCACGTTAAAAACAATTTATAGTCTTTTCTACACCCGTGTTTTGTTCTCATAGACACCCGGTAGAAGTAACAAAACATTAAACTCCGGCAAGAAGATAAAGTCCTTTTTGCAAAATCATAGACATGTATTTACAAATCAAGTATAATGGGAACACAGAATGATCTTGGAGAGAGCTTTACCGAGCTGACTGCTGTAACCGAACGCGACCAGGGTTTAAATGCTGAACGAATGACTGACAGCCACAGCGGAGAAAAGAGTTTGTGTGAACTTTAATGTAAGGACTTAAATATTCATATGTAGCTCACATTAAGCTGGCTTCAGAAGTAACACAGAATAATTCGCACAATCGAAAGAAAAAAGGCTCTCTCTGACCGATACCCGATCCGAGAAAAATGGCACTATCGGAGCCGATAATATCGGATAATATAGCCGATGAATATCGGATCGGCGCATCCCTACTCAAAATGTTATAATAATAAACGTGTGAGAGCGTGTTATAGGCTGTATGACATCATAGTCAGATATGACTGCGCTAATGCAACTCAGTAGCTGAGTATCTCTTCAGCAAGCCAACGCGCAAACTGCCGCGAATGAAACAAAGTAAGACGCAGACGGTCAACACACAATCATCTTCATTAAAAGTAGTAAGACAAACTTTTCATTCCAGTGCTGATGCTGCGCGCTCTCCTATTGCGGTCTTTGATCTTGAAATGAGCTGATAGTTAATAAAATTCAGCGCTTATCTTTTGATTTCGTAAATTTTAAATATAGCGCGGGAATTGAAGATCGGATTTAAATGCGTTTTGCGACGACACATTTATGTGGCCAAGTGTAAATGGAAACGTTTTAACAAATCAGATAGATATCTAATCAGCGAAAATGCGTGAAATGACCAGGTGTAAACAGGCCTTTAATCATTTCATGAACGTCAACACTGCTTCAATGTTATTATTTACACTCTGAGTGTGGACTTAAATTCACACCAAGAATTTTGCTGTGTTTTTAAAACATAAAAAAATCTTTCAGTCCAGGAAGACAAAATACTTAAGTAATAAAAACTTGTTGCTTCTCAAGTGTTAAAAGTGCTAAAGGAAAGTCAGAAAACAGAAACAAAGAGGAGGTGAGAAGAGATTTTCCTGTATGAAATAGCTTTTCTCTAAAAATAGTCCAATAACATGTGAAAGCAGCATTGTCCTCTTCCTTACAGTAAGTTCAAAGTACTTTGACATGTTGGTTTGGCTTTTGATCCCAGTGCAGGAAAGTGCTGCTTGCAGCAGTACACTCTTAAAAATAAAGATGCTTCAAAAGGTTCTTCACAGCGATGCCATAGAAGAACCATTTTTGGTTCCACAAAGAACCATTCAGTCAAAGGTTCTTTAAAGAACCATCTCTTTCTTACCTTTTTAATAATCTGAAGAACCTTCTTTCGCCACAAAGAACCTTATGTGAAACAGAAAGGTTCTTCAGATGTTAAAGGTTCTTTATGGAACCATTTAGACAAAAAGGCATCGTGAAGCACCTTTATTTTTAAGAGTGTGTGAATATAATTTCTTTGCCTGCACCAGTTAACAGTATTGTCAATGTCCATTTTCAAATGCCATTTCCTCAATACTATTCTTTTTTTTTTTCGCCCTGAAGTTTTGAGGCTGCAAAAATTCTTGGAAACTCACAAAACCAACATGAAGAAGAAAGTAGAACGTATTTTTGAGTGCAAGAAAGAAAATGAAGCACATCTCGAGGCTGTTTACACAGAACTGTTCATCACAGAGGGAGATATGAAAGATGTCAATCAGGAACACGAGTTTCTGAAAAATTATCATGCTCTAAAGACCCAGAAATCACAGGACAGACCAATCAACTGCAATGATATATTTACATTATTAAGGAGAAAAAATGAGAAAAAGATTGTGTTGACTAAGGGCATTGCTGGCATTGGAAAAACTGTGTCTGTTCATAAGTTCATCATGGACTGGGCAGAAGGAAAAGCCAATCAGGATATAGACTGTGTGTTCATGCTTCCATTCCGAGAGATTAACAGCATTAAAGACAGAGAGGTCAATCTTCATGAGTTCTTACAAGTATTTTATAAAGAATTGAAGGACCTGGCGAAATCAAAGTTATATACGGAATCTAAACTTGCATTTATATTTGATGGACTTGATGAGAGTCGACTGCCTTTGAATTTTGAAAGCGGTATATTGAACAGTGTTCAGGAAAGATCATCTGTAGATGTGCTGTTTACGAGTCTGGTCAAAGGGAATCTGCTTCCATCAGCTCTTGTCTGGGTGACATCACGCCCAGCAGCAGCCAATCAGATCCCTCCTCGGTATGTAGGTTTGTTCACAGAGGTGCGAGGATTCACTGACCAACAGAAGGAGGAGTACTTCAGAAAGAGAATCACAGATGAGACTCAAGCCTCCAGAATCATCTCACACATTAAGACGTCTCGTAGTCTCTACATCATGTGCCACATTCCTGTGTTCTGCTGGATCACAGCCACAGTACTTCAGAATATTCCCATTGAGAACAATACAGAGAACATCAGCACAACCCTCACTGAAATGTACATTCACTTCCTGCTGATACAGATGAACATGAAAAATCAGAAGTATGATGAACAAGAAGAAAGACAACGTACAAAGCACTTACAATTAAATAGAGAAATTATTTTGAATTTAGCCAAGCTGGCGTTTGAACAGCTGATGGAGGAACACATTGTGTTCTATGAGGAAGATCTGGAAAAATGTGGTATTGAGGTGAATGTAGACACTGAGTTCACAGGAATGATTGCTGAGATCTTTAAGAAGGAAAATGGACTTCATGAGATAAAGGTTTTCTGCTTTGTGCATCTGAGTGTTCAAGAGTTCCTCGCTGCAGTGCATGTTATCATCTGTTACATGAACAAGAACATGCAGGAGCTTCAGTTTTTCTTTGATGAGCCAAAACAAAATGTCACTTTGCAGGAGCTACTACAGAAGGCTGTTGATAAAGCCATGAAGAATCAGAGAGGACATCTGGACCTGTTCCTACGGTTTCTGATGGGCATTTCACTGAAATCTAACCAAACCCTGCTCAAAGGCCTGATCACCCACACTGAAGACACCACAGAAAGCATTACACAAACAGCTGAATACATTAAAGGAGTCCAAAATGAATACAGTATCTCAGATGAAACTTCAGTCAACCTATTTTTCTGTTTACTTGAGCTCAAGGATCATTCGTTATATGAGGAAATCCAGAGTTACCTTAATTCAGATGAACATCCAGGAAGAAAACTCTCATCTTCAATGTGCACAGTGCTGACCTACATACTGCTGATGTCAGAGAAGGTGCTGGATGAGTTCAACCCAAAGAGGTTCACATCATCACCAGCAGACTACGAGAGACTCATTCCAGCTGTGAGATGCTGCAGAAAAGCCCTGTGAGTAATTTCACTCACTGCTGTTCACTTAAATGTTTTGTTCTACATCACTAAACAATTAAATGGCAAAATACTATGTGACATATTTTCCTGTTAATACATAAACACTGAACTTCCAAAAATTATCTGGCTAAACATTTGTTTTGACAGATTTGACAGCTGTGGTCTTGATGAAACATGCTGTGAAACGGTGTCTTCTGCTCTACAATCATCAAACTCTCATCTGACTGAGCTGGACCTGAGTAACAATCACCTGCAGGATTCAGGAGTGAAGCTGCTTTATGAAGGACTGAAGAGTTCACACTGTCAACTGAACATACTGAGGTTTGACATTCACATTCACTGAATTACTATGTTTAAATATGTGGATGAAAATGTGTTCTGATGGCTTCAGATTTGACTCGACTCGAAAAGAATTTGTGAATATTTTAAACACAACTTGAGTCTTTTATCCTTAACTACTGATATCATAGACTTGGAATTTACTTATATCGTTTTACTATATCTGCATCAGATATTTCCTTGATGATGTAGATGGGACTCTTATCATAGTATTTGATGACGTACGTCAGCGTATTGCGCGTACATTACGAAATGTCAGAAGAGTATGAAACATGGTGGGAGCCACCGTGTATATGTTCTCACATTTGGTTACATTAAAGTGTGTCAGAATCAGGAACTTCATAAAGATCGTCTAGATGCAGTGAATGTGGGAAAACAATTAACTATTTCCCCACCATTGACGAGTTATCTCGTCTTTTAGAAGACAACGCTTCCTCGCCAAAGACGAGTTTTTACGGCTTTTCGTGTTTTCACTGTTATACACTAGGGGGGCGCTATTACACATCTTCTGAACGAGTACAAAACCTCCCGAACAAAAACACATGTGTACAGGACGGAGAAACGAGCGATCTCTTATGTAAATAGATGCATATGAAAACTAATGCGATCATCAGCAATGGCAGCATATAAATGAAAACTGCATAATGTTACGGAGTAAAATGTTGATCCAGGAAGTGGTATATGTCTGTGCAATAAACCCCAATAAAGGGTTTTTTACTCCAATGTTCCATGTTTGTTCACCAACAACCCATGTTGTATCCCACAGACGATAGTCGCATCGCATTTGTCTGTTCGCTTCTCATTGGAAGGGCGTTGGAGTGGGCTACCGCGGTGTGGAGTGAGAATCAGACTGTCTTCCCTTCCTTCTCGGCCTTCATCCAGCGGTTTAAGGAAGTGTTCGAACATCCCGCTGAGGGAAAGGAGGCAGGTGAGCAGCTGTTATCTCTACGCCAAGGAAGAGGTTCGGCGTCGGATTATGCTCTCTCGTTCCGCACTCTCGCTGCACAAACAGGGTGGCCGGAGGATCCTCTCAAACTACACTTCCGCAGAGGTCTGAGCATGGAATTGCAGTCAGAATTAGCCTGTCGAGACGAGGGGAGATCCTTGAATCAATTCATTGAGCTGGCCATTCGGATTGACAACCTTCTTCGCTCTCGTCGTCAGACTCGGCTCTCTTCGGCTCCAGTCGGCACCTCATCGCCACTTCCTGACACAGAACCCATGCAGATCGGCTTTACTCTCAGAAGAGTATGAAACATGGTGGGAGCCACCGTGTATATGTTCTCACATTTGGTTACATTAAAGTGTGTCAGAATCAGGAACTTCATAAAGATCGTCTAGATGCAGTGAATGTGGGAAAACAATTAACTATTGCCCCACCATTGACGAGTTATCTCGTCTTTTAGAAGACAACGCTTCCCCGCCAAAGACGAGTTTTTACGGCTTTTCGTGTTTTCACTGTTATACACTAGGGGGGCGCTATTACACATCTTCTGAACGAGTACAAAACCTCCCGAACAAAAACACATGTGTACAGGACGGAGAAACGAGCGATCTCTTATGTAAATAGATGCATATGAAAACTAATGCGATCATCAGCAATGGCAGCATATAAATGAAAACTGCATAATGTTACGGAGTAAAATGTTGATCCAGGAAGTGGTATATGTCTGTGCAATAAACCCCAATAAAGGGTTTTTTACTCCAATGTTCCATGTTTGTTCACCAACAACCCATGTTGTATCCCACAGACGATAGTCGCATCGCATTTGTCTGTTCGCTTCTCACTGGAAGGGCGTTGGAGTGGGCTACCGTGGTGTGGAATGAGAATCGGACTGTCTTCCCTTCCTTCTCGGCCTTCATCCAGCGGTTTAAGGAAGTGTTCGAACATCCCGCTGAGGGAAAGGAGGCAGGTGAGCAGCTGTTATCTCTACGCCAAGGAAGAGGTTCGGCGTCGGATTATGCTCTCTCGTTCCGCACTCTCGCTGCACAAACAGGGTGGCCGGAGGATCCTCTCAAACTACACTTCCGCAGAGGTCTGAGCATGGAATTGCAGTCAGAATTAGCCTGTCGAGACGAGGGGAGATCCTTGAATCAATTCATTGAGCTGGCCATTCGGATTGACAACCTTCTTCGCTCTCGTCGTCAGACTCGGCTCTCTTCGGCTCCAGTCGGCACCTCATCGCCACTTCCTGACACAGAACCCATGCAGATCGGCTTTACTCATCTCAGAGGAGAGCAGAGAGAGAGACGCATTCGCCAGAATCTGTGCCTATACTGCGGATTATCTGGACACATGAGAGCTTCCTGTCCCACTCGTCCACCTCGCAATCTTTCTGCGGTGAGTTCGAATTCCAGTACTTCCACTGCTTTAGAAATTCCAGTCACCTTAAAAATTAATGGGCAGATCACTGAGGCCATGGCTTTGATTGACTCAGGGGCTGCAGGAAATTTCATTGACGCTAGTTTTGCCAAAACTCACAATATTCCTCTTGTTCCCTGTACGTCTCATTTGGCAGTGGCAGTGCTAGATGGCTGCCTGCTGGGCACTGGCCAAATTCAATTCACGACCACGGACCTTCAATTATGCACTGGAGCTCTTCACACCGAACTCATCCGCCTCTTCGTATTTCAATCTCCACGAACACCTATCATTCTGGGACTGCCTTGGCT